GGCCACATGCAAATGTCTAAGCGTGGGTGGCTCTTTGACCTTGTGCTTGGTCTTCCCTGGTAAGTGGGGTGTCCCTGCAGCTCAGTCCCATTTCCTCTCATCTGCTCGATGCCACCAGCCTACCCTGAGGGTTGTCATAAGACCTTGCCCTCGGATGTCACCGCTGTGCCGAGGCTGTCAATGACAGTGTTGCTGGTTGCTTCGCAGGACCCTGAGGGACGGTCTCTAGAGCTTGTCTCTGGGCGAGCACAGAGAATGGGCCAGTTCCCACGAGCAGCGGGTCCATTTCTACTTAGCGAATCGCACAGCTTCCTGCTTTCCGTTCACTGTAGCTGCTGGAGAAAAACTGTGACCCATTCATTCATTGACTTCATGATACACATTTTATTTTTTGCATTACTCATTCCTGATCTCCCTGATGACTCAACTAATCTACTTGAAATTTTTAACCCCCTCCTTTCTCCCTACTCTTAATGGAAGTGTTTAATGGAAGTCTGCAGCCATGTGAGGAAGGCAGGCCTGGGGTCCCTGCTGGTGGCCCTGTGGGCTCCTCCGCGTGTTCCTCGCTGAGGCCTGTACCTCTTTCTGCTTGGTTAAGTGGTTCTCCAGATCCTGCACCCGCTTCCTTTCCTTCTCGATGGCCTCCTTCGCTTTGTGTTTCTCGTAGGCAATGCTGCTCTCGGAAATCTGGAAGTCAATGAAATGTGGTTGGAGGGTGTGTGCAGGAGGAAGGACGGAACACACCGCCGCAGGGGAGCAGGGCTGGGAAGGGGTGAGGTCAGTGAGTCAGGGCTGGGATCCAGAAGTCAAGGAGGCAGGGTGCGGCAGGTGACACCCGGAAGTCACGACTGGGTTAGTCAGGGGCATAAAGAGAGCCATGCGTCATCATTCAGGGTTTCTGGGCTGGTGTTTGGGAAGTGACACGCTGGTGAGTGTGTCAGGGTGTTTGGCTCTGGGCCACTGACTCAGCTGGGCTGTTGGCACCAAGCAGGCCCCTTTGGGAAGCACTTGGCTTTTTGGGAGCCTCTGTGGGAGACAAGGCTGGGGAGATGCCTCCTGTCCCGGCAAGCCCGATGTCTGTGGGTTCAAAGGACCCTGGCGGTCTCTCCCCAGCCTGCAAAGGTTTGGCCAAAAAAGGGATGTCCAGGACATTTTGGAACCCATAATATAACACCCCAAAAGATTGGTGATGGGAAGGCGATCTGAGCCATCTGCAGCTACACAGCCTGGGAGGTGCACTGTGCGGGGTGTCGGTGGAGAACTCCCCGCAGCTGTTGTAGTTATGGCCCCCGTGATCACAAGGAGAATACTTTAAGAATATGCAAACATGCGTAGATAAAGACTGGGGAGCTATGTAGAGAGTCATTTATAGAGGTTATTTGGGAGAGGGAACTGGGGTTGTGGCCATTTATATTTATGATTTATTTACTTATTATTTATTATTTACCTTAGTTGTATTTATATCCAGCTTCTCACAGGTCTGCATCTTCTAAAGTTTCTTTAGGGAGCACATATTATTTGGCAGAGCGAGAAATTGCTGGAAATTGTTCTTGGGAATGCAGTGCTGGGGGTGTGGTGAGAGTGTGGTGCGTGACCCTGGGGAAAAGTCCATCTTCCCACTGCTTTAGCACAGCGTTGGGCCTCTGTCTTGTCCTGCTGTGCACTCAGCCTCCCTGGCCCCACTCTTGCCCCCTCCTCGGGTCTGACACCTCCCTGCCTGGGCTGGGCGTTTCCCCAAAGCCAAGTCTGTTTAGATGGCGCAGCCCCCACCCACCACCAACCGCCTTCCGCATCCCCCAGGGCGGGGCTCTTTCCCTCCTGTGTGCTGTGCCACTTGGCATGTCACAAATAAAAATGCTGCTGCTGCCCCCAGGGCCTGTGAGTGCCAGGCTCTGTGCTCTGAACACAAGAGCACATCTGATCTGCCATCTCCCACGGTGTCTGCCCAGCGACCCCCGTTTTACACATGGGGGACAGAGGCTGTACCCCAGGAAGAGGACAAGTCACGTGCCACAGTCACGCCACCGAGTAGCAGAGCTGCAAGCTCGATGCCAGCCCCGGCCCTCACCACTCAGCCAGTGGCCTCCAGACCTCTTTCCCTGTCCTCTGATGCAAACCCCAGGGCACATGCTTATGCATAGGTGGGCGCAGAGTTGGCCACACCACCCAGCAGGAGCCCGTGTGAGGCTGCCAGTCTGTCCCCACAGCGAGGTGCCTACCCGGAACAAGCCTGGCTCTGTGTGGGTGCGGCTCGCACTCTGACCTCAGTGCCTGGGTGGACTTGGACCAGCTCCCTGCAGTCTTTACCTGACTGTTGTCCCAGGCCCCTGCCCTCGCCCCTGTGCACCATTCCTCCCCCGCCCCTGCCTGGACTCTGACCTCATCCAGGCAGGTGTCCCACAATGAACCTGACCTCATCTAGGCAGGTGGCGCACAATGAACCTGACTCCTCACAATAAACCTCTAGGGTGGTTCTGTCTCCACCCACATTATGGAGGAGGGCACAGAGAGGGCAGGGGTCTCACCCAGCATCACACAGCATGTTGGGACAGAGCTGGGATTAGAACTAGCACGTGTATTCTTAGTCCTCCGAGCTCTCCTGTCTTCCCTGCCTGTGGGCCACCCTCTTGCCCAGGGTGTGGCCTGGAGTTACTCTGTGCTTTTGTATTCGTGGTTGTCTGTCCCTCTACCCTAGAGTGGTCGTCATGGGCACACTGGTGCCACCCAACAGGACTGGGTACACTTCTGGTGCTCGGTAAATATTTGTGCCCGGATGAAGGAAACTGAATCAAAGCCTTCAGTGCCATTAGCTCAGGTTCTGGAGGTTCCAACTGGGCTGGCACATGTCTGTCTGTGTCTCCTCCATCCCTCGAGCCCTGAGCAGGGCTCACCCAGTGCTTGGTTTCCTGGCTTCCCGGCACCCCAGAGCCCTGGTTTGCCTCCCAGGGAGTGACTTGACCATCTGGGCCCACCTGGCTAACACCCCTCCTTGGGCTGCCTGTCAATGACAGGAGGAGGCTGATGGCTGGGGAGCCGACCTAGATGCCACCAGGGCCCTCTCCTGGCAGGCACCTCTCTCCCCTAGGTAGTTAGCAGGGAAGGCTACATAGAGGGTGCTCTTTGCACCAGGTACAGTTCCAAATACTGTAGACACACACACACACTCATTTAGTACCAGGAGTCAGGCTCAGTTACCCTCCCATTTTACAGATGGGCAAACCGAGGCATAGCAAGCTGCCTGCCTTGCCCCATGTCACACGGCTTGTGGGCTATGTGAGGTGATAGCTCCTCAACTGCAGGCACTGCTCTGGCCTCTGCCTCTGCACCCCATGCTCTACATCAGGGCCTGAACACGTGGCCTTGTGTCTGCGGGGAGCTCCGTCCAGAGCCGTGCTAGTGCCACAGCCGCCCCCATTCTCTCTGCCTCCCGTACCTCCTTATGCTGGGTTAAGTGGTTCTCCAGATCTTGAACTTTCCGTTTCTCCATCTCTAAGGCTTCCTTCGCTTTTCTTTTCTCCTGGGCCAGATTGTTCTCCAAAACCTGCAAACCAACAGCCAGTGTCTTTGGACGCCTGTCCGAGGGGGAGGGGAAGCAGGGGAGGGGGAGCAGCAGAGCTGCAGACGAGGCCAGTCCCCTGGACAGTGAGCATGGCTAATCCCTGGGTGGTCTGACCAGGGTGGGGGGCTGTGCCAGCACCCCACATTCACAGCAGCTCTGCCAGGGGGGTGCTGTGCGTGGCCCCATTTGCTAGATGAAGACACTGAGGAATGAAAGGTTGGTCGGGGCCGGGGCCACACAGCATGGCCAAGGCAGAGCCAGGCCGGAGACCAGGCTTGGGGAGAGCTGCGGCCAGCAGCGGGAGCCCGACCTGTCCTGTTTGGAGCTCAAGCTCTTATCACCACGCCAGGCGGCCTCTCCGATAAGCAGAATCTCATTAAGAATGGACTCTCCCGTTATTGAGATAAATCGCTTAAAGAGAACCAGGTTTTGGGAGGAGGGCATCGTAGTGGATTCATGAACTGTGACCTTCCCATTTCCAGAAGGGTGGGGATTATCCTCAAGGGGGAAGATCTCACAGGTTGTGGGGAGGAAAGTGTGGTCAGTATCTGCTGCTCATCACCAAGAATTTTAGCCAAGAAGCTGCTATTACTATCTGCTAGTCAGTCAAATGGCTTTATGCTAATTGCCCTTGGATGTCAGTTACCACCAGCCCCTGCTTCTAGTCACCCGGGAAAGGGCTCCAGCTTCAGATGGGTCACCTTTTAAATGCCAGCTTGGCTATCAGAGAGCTGGAACTGGCTTCCAATATACCCAGTGTCTAGGGTCCTGCCCAAAGCATTTGACCCAACCTATGGCTGCAAAGCTACAGAGAAAGGCAGCGTAAGCCCCAGGCCACACTCCGCTGTCCCAGCGCCAGCCCTGCAGAGCAGAAGGCAGTAACCTTGGGGAGTGTCACCTCATTCTGAGCACTGAGGCAGGGTCTGGGGAAGCTGTGAAAGAGACTTCAAGCATTTTCCAGGGACTTCGGGTCGACTCCACTGCCTCTGCTCTTGTCTACACTCGGGGCTTTGACCTCTGCTTCTCTGTAGTCCTCTGACAGTCCATGACTGGTGGGCTGTCCAGCAGGACTCACTCATGTGGGCTGTCCCCCATTTACTCCCCCAAGTGCCCAGGCAGGTGATGGCAGTGGGTCCTTCTGGTGCCTCAAACCCTACATTATGATCAATGATGATCTTGCCCTTAAGATTCACTTGCTAGTGATAGAAGCTCTGATAAAACAAATCCATAACTGAGTTTGCACAAGCTCTGTGGGTGGGACAAGGAACCTGGGGAGGGGGGCTGTGCCAGAAGAGGGCTGGCGAGGCCTGGGGGGACCTAGCACAGCTCCTCCTTGCTGTTGGGCTGTCCCTGCCACACTTTCCTTAAATCTCTCTCGTGACGTGCCCCATGACCTCGAAAACTCTAAATTCAAGGGCCTCCCCAGTCCTGTGCTGCTGACCTCTCAGTGGCCTTGGATCCCTTTGAGTCTTTTCGAGACCTTAATCTTCCTGATCCCCCCATCCCTTGCCCCAGAAAATAACTCAGCATTAAACTTCAGTGACACTGGTGATAGGGGCACAGCTGCGTAGGGGACCCCAAGTGAGCCCCCGCTCCTCACTGTGGATCAGGTCAAACAGCATGAGCTCTGTCCTGCAGTCTCCTTGTTTCTCCCTTGGGGTGGGTGGGCGAGGATGTAGGGTTCCACTCTGGGGAGTGAGGTTGGAGTAGGGTTGAGAGCAAACCAGTGCCCAGACAGAAGGGAGCTGGCAGTAGTGGCAGTGATCGCAACAGCTGCCACTCCCTGAGTGGTGGTCCTCGGTCACATGCTTCACTGGACATTATCTTTAATCCTCACTAGCTGCACCCTTTAAAGAAAGCAGGCATTGAGAGATCTGCTCCAGGCCATCAGTAGCCAGGGAGTGAAACCATGTCTCATCTGACAGCAAAGTCTGCCCTCTTCACTTCTCTGTGCTGCCTCTGGCTTGAAGAGCTAATGAAAGGATGATGTGAAAAAGACACAGGGAGCTGAGGATGCCCATGAGGTAAGTATGAGTCAATAATACAATAGAGCTTCCCCCAAAGCTTTTTTGAGCACATCAATAGAAGTATAAAGTCTTCAATGAGGGAGAGGAGAGTCTTGTCCTAGGCCACCAAGGTTGGAGAACGTGTTGGTCTGGGAACCTCGGTTTAGAAGAAAATCGGTGATGGGTTGCAAGATCAGATGTGCATAGGGGCCAGACACCAAAAAGCAAGTGGTCTGCATTTAATGCAATAGGGAATGGTGGGGATTGTGGCAAATACTGCTGCTTGGCTCAACTCTAGTCCATTTTGGCCAAGTGGAAACAAGGGCCAGATTTTCCGACTTTTTAAGAGAGGGTGGAAATCTGGATTTTTAAATAAATTTTGTGAACTTTAAGTAAAACACTCTAAGGTCAAATATGACATGTCCACAAGCCCTTTTCAGCCAGTCAGCTGCTTGTCTATGACTTCTGGAGAGCAGAATAGGTCAGAGGAGTGGATGAAGGCCAGGCTGCAGTCCTGTGAGGCACATAAGGAGAAACAAGGGCATTGGAGTCTGGAGACGAACAGGGTCTCTATTTTCAAACACCCACTTCTTTGGAAGTGGGTAGGCCTTGGAGGACCCCAGGGGGAGGATTACTACCTTTCTGGGAGAAAAAGCTTGATTCAACTTAACTTAGAGGAAGGATTTTTTATCTGGACAAGACTCAACATTGGGAGGGACAACCCTGGCTGGAGAAATTTTTCAGTGGTGGAGCTGAAGGCTGGATGATTTTGGGATGATTTAATGGAAGATTCACAAAGCCCCAAAGGCCCAGGACTCCACAATTCCTGCATTTCTGTGCTTTGGGATGCAATCTTCATGCCAAAGAGATGGGGTGACAGTCCCAACTTGTCTTCAAGCCCTATCTACACCTGCATTTTATGCTCTCTGCAGTTTTTCCAAGTCTCAAGATCAACTCTTTGGTCTTTCCTTGAGTGCCCCAAGATTCTTCTCAAAATAGCTGAGCCAGCCCAAGGAGCAAGGCAAGCTCCCCCTTCTCAATCCCCCACCAGTGGAGGTTCTGAACTTACTTCCATGAGGCCCACAAGCCAGATTTGGGCTCGAGCCGACTCTATCTCCCCGAGCTGCATACCTCCTTCTGCTGGGTTAAAAGGTTCTCCAGCTCTTGGACTCTGGTCTGTTCTTCCGCTAATGCTTCTTTTGCTCTGCTTTTCTCTTGAGTAATGCTCTCCTCCAAAGCCTGGAAGCCAATGACCATTGTTTAATAGTTACCATGGCAGGAATGTGGACACTCAGCCAGCACTTTGTGACTTAGCTGTTCACAGCTCAGGACAATCCCATGGGGAGACTGGGCAGCTTAGCCCAGGAGCTGAGAGCATGCGCTCAGGAGCTGCAGGCCCAGACCAGAGTCCCGGGTCAACCCTTTCTAGCTGCGTGGACTTGATCTGGCCTCAGGCCAACTCTGTGTCTGAGCTACGTACCTTCTTCTGGCGGGCGAAGCAATTCTGCAGCTCCTGGACTCTCTTCCGTTCTTCCTCTAGTGCTTCTTGCACTTTGTTTCTCTCTTGAGTAATGCTTTCCTCCAAAGCCTGAAAGCCAATGACCATTGTTTAATAGAGTTACCATGGCAGGAGTGTGGACACTTGGCTAGCACTTCATGGCTCAGCTGTTCACAGCTCAGGACAACCCCGTGGGGAGACTGTGGGCAGCTTGGCCCAGCTGCTGAGAGCACAGGCCCAGACTAGAGTCTGGGTCAGTCCTTCCTAGGTCTATATCTTTGGGCAGGTGAGAAGGGTGGGTACCTCAGTTTCCTTCCCTGTGCAGTGGGAACATAAGAGTGCTTCCTGCATTTGGGTTGATGTGAAGAGCAGGTGGGATGATGAACATGACATGCTTGGCACACGATAACCCCTTGTGAATAAGAATCACTCATTTCTTCTGTCATCTCCACGTTGCAGGGGAAGAAGCAAGCTTAGAGAGATTGAGGACCACCCAATTTACTTGACTCTAGAGCCTTGTTGTAAACCAGGGGTTGGCAAACTATGGCCAAACCTGGCCCCCTGTCTGTTTATTGTTTTTTTTTTTTTTTTTTTTATAGTTTTTTTTTTTTTTATAGAGGCATGTTTTTATTTATTTATTTATTATATTTGTTTGTTTTGTTTATACATGCACTGGGTACAGTCAGAAGCGCGGGAGGGTGAGAGAATTCACCAGAGCCAGAGCGGGGAGCAGAGCAGGCAGAAGGGCTGAAGTACACTGCTGAGGGGAGCAGCGGGTGGCAGGAGAGGTCTGCGCACCATGTGGGATCCTCCTCCGGTGGCCGGGGAGCAGCCGGGGATCGAACCGGCGCCGCAGAGGCCGCGGGCAGCTTCGCAACCCAGCGCTCAACTGCTGCGCCACCGGGGAGGCCCCTGTCTGTTTATTGTTAATAAAGTTTTATTGGAACGCCTCCATGTTCATGTTTGTGTCTTGCCTGCGGCTGCCTTTATGCTATAGCAGCAGAGTTGAGTGGCCACAACAAAGACTGTCTGGCCTGCAAAAGTAAATATATGTAACAGGTTCTTGAATGATGTCATTTTGTTCAACTTCATTTCCTTAAACATTGATGGTAACAAATAAAGTCCATTCCTGGCGGGGGCTACTCTCTGTGCGGTTTGTGTGTCCCTCCCCCGCCCCCGCACCCTCTGTGGTCTGTGTGGGTTCTCTCCACAGATGTGCATGTAAAGTTCATGGGAATGTCTCAATTGTCCCAGTCAGTCTCTGTGTGTGTGTGTTCGTGTGTGTTTGTGTTCATGTATGGTGTGTGCGTGCGTGTGGGCAAGTGCCCTGAGAGGGAAGGGCATCCGGTCCAGGTGGGCGCCAGCTTGACCATGAGCTGTAGGGAGAGGCTCCTGCCACCCTTGACCCTGAACTGGAATAAATGGGTTGGAAAATGAACCAATGAAGGAATGAAAACATCATTGTTTAATGTTAGAAGTGTTTTGGGTCTTTATGCTGAAGTTTGGTGACGTTTCTGTGGTCAGAAGTCTGCCTTAGGAACCTAATTTTGTTTATCAATGAGTCTAAGATCAAATTGGTTTGTTCTATGTGCTTCTGCTTCAAGTGAGAGCTGCCAAGAACACACGGGTGATGTTAAGTGAGGATTTACAGTTTACTATTTTTAGTCTATGTGGGGGGAGCTTGCTGACCCCTGACAGAAACAGCGCGTGCACCGTTAGATCACTTATAATGTGGTTAACAGTTCTTTTTTTTTAAAAGATGTTAGCTGGATAAAGGCACTGGAATTTCTTACCATTGAAAGAGTCCCCAAACAGGTAGGATTCATGAAAAAACTGAGTTAATGATTTTTTTTAAAGAGATAATTTATTTTTTAGTAGAAAAACTGGGATGCAGGCCAGAGGTGTGGGGTGTGGGAGGGGTGAGAGGATTCACCAGAGACAGAGTGGGGAGCAGAACAGGCGGATCCACTGAAATACACTGCTGAGGGGAGTAGCAGGAGAGACAGTAGAGGTCTGCTGTGCCATGTGGGTAGCTCCCTGGCCAGGGATCAAACTCAGGCACAGCAGTGATAGCACTGAGACTTAACCCCTAGGCTACCAGGGAGGCCTGAGTTAATGATCTTTGACATGTGTACTTCTAGAAAGGAGTGGGTGACAGTGTCCTCTGCTATTGTAAAATTGGGCTTGGTGCCAAGATCTGGGCTGGTACTTCCAGATGAGTCTCAAGGGTCAAGCTGGTCAACAGTTGTGTCTGGGGAGTGGTGACCCTTCTTGGGAGCAGTAATGACCATCTGCAGGTCATTGTTGGGGAGAGTGATGCCGCCTCCCCCCTCTGCAAGGGGCAGTGTGCCCTAAGCTTTGCTCTGTTTCAGGGGGCTTTGAAACCAGTCCTTTGGAACGGTCCATAAGGGAGGCTGCTACAAGTGGGCATCGGGGAGGCTCAGGCTGGAGCCCAGAGCAATGTGGAACAGGAATGTACCATACACCCACCAGGGAGCACGTCAACCCCAAATTAAAAATAAAAGACAACATTTGGAAAGGGAGATGTGAATCAGAGAGGTGTGAGGTAGGAGGTGGGGAGTTTGTGAAGATTTTGGAGATTTCTAGGTTTTTTGCTGGTTTTACCCTCTACAAATCCCAGGCACAAGCCACACCCTCACCCCATTAGATCAGAGCCTGAGGGGGGAGGGAAGGTGCAAGGCATTGTTTCTTTTGGTTTCTTAAATGCCAAAGTTCTGAACTGCTGACCTAGGACCCTGGTGATGAGGTGCCTTAAGTCATCACAGGTCCCTGAATGTCAAAAAAGACCCACTCTTGGACCATGATGAGAACTGGCTTATTAAATGCAGTTTCTCATCATTTTTCAGAGATTCTGGCTAAATGGGTCTAGGGTAGGGCCCTAGGATTGTATTTTATTTATTTATTTATTTATTTATTTATTTATTTATTTATTTATACAAGCACTGGGTACAGTCAGAAGCGCAGGAGGGTGAGAGAATTCACCAGAGCCAGTGTGGGGAGCAGAGCAGGCAGACTGATGAAATACACTGTTGAGGGGAGCAGGGGGCGCGGCGGGGGAGTTCTGCGCACCATGTGGGACCCTCACCGGCAGGTGGGGATCGAACCAGCGCTGCAGAGGCTGTGGGCAACTTCGCAGCCCTGCGCTCAACCGCTGCGCCACCAGGGGAGGCCCCCTAGGATTGTATTTTCAACAAGCATTCAGCTGGTTCCTATCAGGCAACTTTGGGAAAAGCTTCCTTTAAGATTTTGCTGCTGAAAATGTGGTCAGGCATCCCGCGCTGCCCGTCCCAGCTGGGAGCTTGTGGAAATGCAGAGCCTGGGTGTGCTGAGCAGAATCTGCATTTTAACCACATCCCAGGTAATTCTCGGGCACCTTTAAGTTAGAGAGCACCTGCAGTACAAACAGCCTCTAATTGCTTTGGTTTCTAGAAACGAAAGCAATTTTGGTTATTTGCTCCCCCCTGACATGTATGAAGAGAAAGCAAAGGACTGAAATACTGTGAGGTCGGTCTTACACATTCTTGGAGGCAGTTTGTCAGTTATACACTGGGACCTGCAGTAATGACTTGGATTTGGAGAATCAAATGCAACATATAAACAAAGAGGATAATCATTTCCAGAAATTCCAATAACCTGCCTTTGCAGGCTGATTCTGTTCTGAGCTTTAGAACTTAAGCTTCACGTTAATGTCTTTAATGTCATTCACATGTTTCATTAATTTGGTTCATGGCACCCAACAAGGGGCTGCTGAGATTTCGCCCTCTGAGTTCTGTCTTCAGTTTCCTGTGGGAAAGCCCATGTCAGCAGTTTCTAATTGTGAAGAAAATGGCAGGACCACCTTACCACCTTTTCTTCTATCAGCAGCTTGATTCTGGCTTTTAGCTTCTCCTCTTGCTGCAGCCTTTCCTGGTTCAGCTTCTCCTTCTCAGCCAGATGCTCCTGTAGCTTTTCTTGCAGCAAGATCTTCTGAGTCTCCTGAGAACTGCTGATCTTGATCTGAAGGGAGAGAAAAGAAAACTGAAGCTGAGGGGGGGAAACAGGAATAACTAAAGAGTCATTTCCGTGTTTTTCTTTTCTTTTTCTTTTTTAAAAAAAGATTTATTTATTTATTTATTACATCTACACGTGTGCACAAGCCCATCTGAGAGGGGTGACCCAGCTGGCAGCTGATCCCAAGTGTGTGCGAGGTGAACAGTGATGGTGGAATGCCACTAACACCTTGTGGTTGTTTATCAGACAGCATTATGGCCATAGATCCCAGAAGGACAGAATCCCTAAGGGTCATTTTGCCTCTAACTTGTAGCCATTATGTAATTTTTGGTAATTTTGCCCCTGAACTGTGGCTAGCTGCACTTCTTCCACTGCAGTTAATGAATGCAGCTTTTTTTTTTTTTTAAGATTTATTTATTTATGCATACAAGAGCTGGAGTACAAGCCAGATGTGTGGGAGGGTAAAAGAATTCATCAGAGACAAAGCGGGGAACAGAACAGGCTGACCGATGAAATACACTGCTGAGGGGAGCAGCAGGTGAGACAGGAGAGGTCTGCTGTGCCATGTGGGTATCTTACTGGCTGGCCGGGCTCGAACCTGCACTGTAGAGGCTGTGGACAGCTTCACAGCACTGCGCTCAACTGCCTGCGCCACCTGAATGCAGCTTTTAAGATCTGATGGGACTTAGGTCTTTTTAGATTTTGACTAGAGGAAAACAAGCATCCTGTCTTTGCCCTTGCCCTCCGGGAAGACCCCACAGCCCTGTCTGAGTCTCTTCATGTGCAAATGGAGATATCGTTTCACCTTTCGGGAGGATGTGCGCTAACAAGATCAAAGTGCACAATGCTATGCAAATGCCAAGGACGAGCTGAAATAAACTTTCGAAATGAAAAGAATACCTGAAGTTCCTGGGTGTGGCTCGTAATTTTCTTATAGTGTTCCAGAAGATATTTCAGATACGAGGAGAATCCTTAAAAAGACATGCAAGAAGAAGGTTAAGAATCAATTCAGGTCACCTGCTTTGCCTTTTGGGTAAGGTCTTTTGAAAAGTTGACAAAACTGGAGCCATTTTAAAATTGCGTGAGCCGTGGCAGAAACACCATTTGCTGTTCCCTTTAAGTTGAATCAAACCTCTGGACTGGCCCAAACCACCACCATTCCAGGAAGCCAGCAGGAGCAGGCATATTTGGTTTGAAAGGACTGATAAAAATGAAGTTTTACTTGCTTTCACTGGGGGACCCCACCACCTGATCATTTCACCTCTGAGTTTGATGGCAAAGGGGAAGAATAAGAGAAAAAATAGTGGGTGGATGCCAGAGAGGGAAGGATAAGGAGAGACATAGGAGGGAAGAGCTGTGTCTGGAAGGGGGATGTGGCGGGGTGGGAGGAGAAAGATGGGTATAGAGAGGAAGGAAGAGGGTATCATGTGCATAGCTGAGGCCTCCATCTTTGACAGCGCCACTCTGAGAATTTCCAGTGGGAAGAATGAGAATAATATTATAATAACAGCTATCAAGGATCAAGCACCTGTTGTGTGCAGACATCATGCCAGCAGTTTGACACCTGATATTTTCTAATGGCTATAAAAAACCCAGCAAGGAAATGTGTTTGCGCTGATAGTTGAGCTGAGAGGAGCTCAGCATGTAGGTGGTAGGATCGGCAGGCAGACCTAGCTCTGTCCTGGACCTGTTCTTTTACAGAGACCCTGGAGGCTTGAGCATGAAGGGCTGGATTGGCTAATGTGAATTGTGAGTTGGGAGAAGTGTGTGGCAAGGATATCAAGATGGCGGGGTGGGAGAGGCAAGACGGCATGGCTGATGTTGGCCTGCATTACAGGAGCCTGGTGGTGCAGGAATTGTGGTGATTAGACTGGGCTGGAAATCTCCTGGAAGAGTTCCGTAGGAAACACGTGCACGGTGGCGTTGGCCAGGAGAACACCGTGCTAGAAACCGATTTCACGTAATTCTGAGAACCTTCTGGTAGAGCTCTGTATGCAGGGCTACAGCTGAGACCTGTGGCCCAGGGGCAAGTCTCCATCATGGTAGAATCCACAGAGGAATTAAAGGGAGGGGTGTCAAGGACGTGAATGGGAGGATGGGGGAACTTGGCCACATTTTTAGAGTTGATGATGGGCCATAATGAGAATCAGGTTTCCCCCTTTGGGAGAAGGAGCAATTCTTTATTATATTTCTGGTTACAAAAGTTACACGTGTCTATGACACAAACTCAAACATTACAGAAATCTCTGTCTTCACTGGCCAGCACACAATAGACCCATGATGGATAACTTGCATGACGGAGTGAAAGTCAAGGTCCTCTGTGAACCCCCATGGTGGGGCAATGCTCTCACCAGCTTTATATCTCTTTCCCCAGATTTCTCTTTTGGTTGGATACTGACACTTTAAAAATACAAACACGGGGGCCTCCCTGGTGGCGCAAGGGGTTAAGCACCACGCTGTGAAGCAATCCAAAGCCTCTGCAGCACGAGTTTAATCCCCGGCCGGCCAGGGAGCTACCCACATGACGCAGCAGACCTCTCCTGTCTCTCCCACTGCTCCTCTCAGCAGTGTATTTCAGTCAGTCTGCCTGTTCTGCTCCCCACTCTGTCTCTGGTGGATCCTCTCACCCCCCGCATCTCTGGCCTGTACCCCAGTTCTTGTATGCATAAATAAATCTTTACCAAAAGAAATACAAACCCAGTACTACACATACATATTGTATCACAACTTATTTTTTAATTTAAAAATACTGCATATCTTAGATATCTGAGCACAAAAAATTTCCTATGGGTGCAGGAAAGCCTTTTCTTTGTAACAAAGTCTTGTAGAAAAGTCACAAACAACTGAGCTTGCAAAGAAAAATGTAAAGAGTTCTTTCTTTCTCTTATCAAGAGTAGCATGAGAAACCAGGCAGGAGAATTGTAGAATCAACTTTCACGAGTCCTTAGATATTTCCTATCTTCCTGGCTGGACCACACAGCCAGTCCTTCACCCATCAGATCTTTAGTAATAACTCCAGCCTGCTGGGCTGCTCATGACATCACCCAGCAATACTTCAAGTAGTTTCCCTCTGCAGTACTAGAGCTGGATTCCCCAGGATTAACCAACCTAGTTTCGAAGGTGTGATCTCTTAGGATAATATTCTAAAAGGCAGATGGTACGGTGGTGAAGAGCAGGGATTTTATTTCTTGAGGGAGCTGGATGGAGCCCCAGTTATACCACTTGGCAGCTGGGATGCACAGGCCATTGTCAAGACTACAAGGTGGCCTGGGTAAGGTTCTCTGGGCTCCCACCCAATGGAGTGTTTGTGACCCATTTGGGGTCAAGTGGGGATAGGCAGGGCTTCCTGGTAAAGTGACCTTGGTGTGAGAAAATCAAACTGCCCTGCCTGAGCGTATGCCCATCTGGGTGCCACTCACACTTAGGTCACGTTAAATTGACAAGCATTTGCTGATGGTGACAGCAGCTGCCATTTACTGAGGCTTGCTGTGACCCAGGGTCTAGAATTGTTTTCACGTCACGTCATTGAGTCCTCAAACCACCCCATAAGATTTTATCCCTTTTTTTTATATAAATAAGGAAATGGAGACATACAGAAAGTAAGTCACTTGCTCAATCAACTAGTAAGTGCACAGTTGAGACTCAAACCTTGGCAGCTGGCCCCAAAGCCCAAACCACTCTGCTTTAAGGCAAATGAGGCTTGACTTGGGCATGGCTCATGGCGTGCATCAGGGGCAGCTCACTGTAGGGAACAAAACCTCCTTGCTCTGTCTCTGCCCAAATTATTGACAGAACCTGTCTCAAGGAATTGGGGATGTACCTGCTATACTCTGGATCATCAGAGGGAGTGCAGAGTCACAGAAAAACACACAGACATTGGGATCACGATGATCTCATACACAGGAAGCCTAGCCCTACCATGTCCCAGCTGTGTGACCTTGAGCAAGTTTCTTAATGTTCTTGAGACTCAATTTCCTTACCCACAAAATAAAGACAACAATAGTACCCAGTTCACTGGGTTGTGGGAGGATTAAAAGTAGACAATGCATATAAAATGCCTGACATGCTGGTAAGTACCAAGGCGGAGCTAAATAAACCATGGTTCCTGCCCTTCTAGAAACTGTGAGCACAGCTCCTAGGAGTGCTTGTGGGTGCTGACGAGTGACTGGGAACCCCTGATGATCTCAGTAATGGGAAGTACCTTGAATCACCTTATCAAGGTGGAATAATTGTACAATATTTTATGAGCCAGTTTCTTCATTTGCAAATGAGGATAATGGTAGCTGCCTCACAGAGGTGCTGGAAGGATGGACGGGGATAATGTATGGAAAATCCTTAGAACAGCAACTAGAATACAAGCCCTCAATGATGAATGTTGTCCGCCATCAGTACTGTCCTCACCTTCATCATCGCTGTCATCATTCTCATCCCATCCCCATTCTAAGCATTATCATTGCCATCATGGCTGTCATTGCCACATCCCCATCCTCACCACCATCACCAACATCCTCCTCCTCACCACCATCATAATCAACACCATTATTTTTTTTTAAGATTTATTTATTTACTTATACAAGCACTGGGTACAGTCAGAAGCACGGGAGGGTGAGAGAATTCACCAGAGCCAGAGCAGGGAACAGAACAGGCAGTCTGACAAAGTACACTGCTGAGGGGAGCAGCGGGTGCGGCAGGAGAGGTCTGCACGCCATGTGGGACCCTCGCCTGGCGGCTGGGGATCGAACCGGCGCTGCAGAGGCTGCGGGCAGCTTCACAGCCCAGTGCCCAACCGCTGTGCCACCAGGGGAGGCCCTCAACACCATTTTTATCTTCACCGTCAACACCACCACCTAGCCAGCCTCGCCATCATTATCCTCACCATCACCGTCCTCACCATCATAACCTTTGCTTCTCCTCCCCTCCTATGTAGATGGCTGTGTTAGGAATTACAGTAGCAGAGAATACAGAAAATACTCATGTTCCTCTCTTTCTTTTAACCTTTTGGGACCCTATCATGATATTGCTTGTATTAGAAGATCAGGTGCCTTTCACCATCAACTCCCCCTCCTGCTGAATGAACTAGAAACGAGCCCTACTCATCAGCCTTCCTGTTATTACCCTCCATCCTTCTCTGGCTTCTTAGAACCAAGAAGCTGTAATCCCGGAATACAGTCTGTTTTCCCCCAGCGGATGTTCCATAGAGCATGTTTTAAGAGATGTTAGATGGGAGCTAAGGGCAGCAAGGAGACATGTATTTTGGGAGCCCCCTATTCTCTATCCTGTACTTTTGGACCCACAGAGCATATTATTTTAGAGCCTCTTGCTCAAGTCTCCTGACTCCATGAATTTAGGGAAAAAGATGGTGGGTCTGAAAATACTGCCTAAGGCAAGTCTTACTCAGCCTTTCTGGAATTGCTAGCCTGACAGATTACATAAGGTAACACATGATCTTATGTAACTTACAGGCATTGGCTACAGTGAGTGGAACGGTCTTGGAGGGGGCCAAATAGTGGGGAGGGGACATGTACAAATGGCTCGGCCACCATTACTAGGACAGATCACGGCCTGTCTTTCAGTTCCAATCTTAAAGCTGTGGTCCTCGTTTCACCTGATTTCATGTACCTTCCTGTCTGCTCTGCCATGATTACAACAGTAACGCTGGGGTAGGGGAGCCCCTGGGTTGTTGGGGTAAAACCAGTCCCTTCTGTATGCTCTATGGGAAGGGCAGGGGTACTTATCTTGTTTCTGCTTTTGATTTTTTTTTTTAAAGAACTTTGCATCACCTTCTGGATTGCTTTGGAGACATCCTGGCTGGGATGTTGAATCAGTAGAACTGAAAATCACACCTCTATTCTCATTCATTGCTGCAAGAATGTCAAATTCCTAAGCCTCTCGGAAGGGTGATTTGGCAAGGAGTATTAACAATCTCTAAATGTGTGTCTCCTTAGGGTTTGACTCTGGGTTCTCTCCCTTCTTATTCAATACTTCCTTTGTAAGTGTTACCAGTCACGCCTATGTCTTGTCCATCCATCCATCCATCCATCCATCCATCCATCCATCCATCCATCCTCCATCCATCCTCCATCCACTCATCCATCCCACAGATATTAAGAACCTACTGTTTAGCACGTGTTCTTCTAGGTTGGGGGACACACCATTAATAGATAAAACCTTGGCACCCCAACTTTGACGTCCCATGGACACCTCACGCTCATCTTCTTCCTCAAACCTGGTCCTGTGTTCCGTGTTCTGGATACTCTGGATGTAGGTGAAGGAACCACATCTGTCCTTTCATACAGCAGAAACCTGAAGGCCTATAGACCCTTTTCTCTCTGTCACTTTCCTTCCAATCATATCCAAGTGCACCACAGAGGCCTGTTGATTGATCTCTTCACTGTCCCTGGAATATTCTCTTTCTCTGCTCCCACTCCTGCCTTGTGTGGGCCACCCCCTCTCTTTGACAGCTTCCTAATGCCTTCCCTGGTACTGCTCCATGGTGGCCCACATTTTCCTCCCCATATTTTCCATTGGTGTCCAAGATGGTCGCCTCCAAATGCAAATCCCTTCCAAGAGTTCCCTACTTAAAACCATGGGCTTCTTGCTATTCCTAGGACAAAGCAGGGCTTCTTACCAGGGCTTTGCAACCCCCCTGCAGACCCTCCTTGCCAGCCCTGCCCCATCCTGTGCTCTCATTTCTCTTGGCTCCTTTTGTTCTTCATGCTCCCTACCCTACCCCATGGCTCCCTTTGCCCCAAATGTTCCCCCTTCCCTTCTTTGGCAAATAACTCCTATGCATCCTGCAATGCCCTGCCCTCGCTGACCAGAACAGAGTCCTGCACTTCTCCTTTGTAGCAACTGTCACCATGAAAGTTTTACATGTGATTTTCAGCAAAGGCCCACCCTAGATCTTATGGTCACCAAGATTGTAAGATTTATGGGGGCAGGGATAGTGCCCCAATTTTTATAATGAAAAATTCAAATATAAAGTTGGGGGAATTTTGGTGCCAACATCCATACACCTGTGACTTAGATTCCACCTGTTTCTGAGCCATTTTGGGCCTGCCCCGCACTGTGCCTGGTGTCTAGCAGGCATGAGCTGAATCTTTGTTGCTCAAAGGGGTCGATGTCCTTCCTCCTCCGGGAGAACGAAGATGTGATGGATCTAAGCAAGGATGTTTCCTAGCCTTATCTGCAAGTGTGAAAAACTGGAAACAACCCAAATGCCCCTGACAGGGGACTGGCTAAATAAATTAGGGTACATCCTACACGATGGGGTTCCATGTAGTAACAATGATGATGTTGATTTGTGTGGATGGACATGGGCGTTTCCGACGTACCAAGGGGGAAAATACCAAAGAGAGTTGGATACGACACTGGTGTTTTGTTTTGTTTTGTTTTTGGTAAAACTGAAAAATCAATAAATATATAGGTAGCGCCTACTCTGTGCCAAGTACTGTTGCAAGCACCCCACCTAGAACAATGCATTTTAATCCTCACAGAAACCCTGAAGGACAGGCACTCCTTATTATTCTCATTGCACAGGGGAGAAAACTGAGGCACAGTGAGGGTAAGTGACTCTCCTCAAACCACACAGCCATTCCCAGAGAAAATGCCTTGGAGGTTACACAGAACATCGCACAGTATTGACAACAGCAACGGTGGGGATGATGTGGAATAGCAGATTCTTTCTCTGCCAGTGGGAATGCAAAATGGCAGAGCCACTCAGGAAGGCGGCCTGGAGGTTTCTTACAAGGCTAAGCACGCGCTGTCACACCATCCACGAGCCATCGCACTCCTTGGTATTTCCCCAAAGGGACTGAAGACTTGCGTGCACGCAAAAACCTGCCTGCCAAATGTCTGTGGCGGCTTTATTCATAACCTCCCCAAGCTGGACGCAGCAAGATGTCGTCTCGTGGGTGGAGGATAAACAAGCACCGGGTGAAGACCAGGAGATGTTCTTCAGTGCACTACGAAGGCACGAAAAGACATGGAGGAAGAGGAAATGCCTATTTCTAAGTCAAAAAACCCTAATCTGAAAAGTGGTATAATTCCAACTCTATGACATTCTGGGAAAAACAAAACTATGGAAACAGTGAAAAAATCATGGGCTGTGAGTTTGAGGGAGGGTGGAAGAGGCACAAAGGGGTGACAAGGGGGAGCACAGGGGATGTTTAGCAGTGAAACACCCTGGGGGACGCTCTAAGGGCGGGTACATGAGTCCAAACCCGCGGGACGTCATCGCCACTAGGGGAACCCGGGTGTAAACCGTGGGCCTGGGTGATAATGGCGGGTCTGTGCAGCTTCTTCAGGGGTAACCAAGGTGCCCTTCGACCCAACTTGATAATAAGGGAGCCTGTGCACGTGTGGAGCTGGGGGTGTCCAGCAAATCTGCACCTTCCTCTAAATTTTGCTGCGAACCTAAAATTGTTCTTAAAGAAAAAAGACTCGGGGTCTCCCTGGTGGCACAGGGGGTTAAGATGCAACCTATGAAGCTGACCGCAGCTATCGCAGCACGAGATCGATCCCTGGCTAGGGAGCTACCCACATGGCGCGGCAGACCTCTCCTGCCTCGCCCGCTGCTCCCCTCAGCAGTGTATTTCAGTCAGTCCACCTGTTCTGCTCCCCACTCTGTCTCTGGTCGATCCTCTCACCGCCCGCACCTCTGGCTTGTAACCCCGTTCTTGTATGCATAAATAAATAAATCTTAAAAAAAAAGTCTGAAGAAAGCAAACAATGTAAAAAAAAATGAACAATGATGTAAAATATATATAAATAAATTATTAAAAATGAAAAAAACTTCCCTGGATTATTAAAAAAATAAAGAAAAAAGTCTGTTAGCACACATAGTGGTAGTTACTGCTGAGCGATCGGATTTAGCACCATTTTGATGTAACTTTCCCTTGGCCTCAGTCATGCCTCATTTCCCCAGTCATCACACCTCACTCGTGTGTGTGTGTGTGTGTGTGTGTGTGTGTGTGTGTGTGAAGGAAAATAGCTTCTCAAGTGGGGAAGCCGAGTCTGCCGGCAGAAGGGAACCCTTGGCCGCGGACCTAGGAATCCTCCTCAGCAGATGTTCCACCATGCAAGGTTCTACACGGCATGTTCGAATCATGCAACTAACAGAAAAAAGCCCCAGTGACCTTTGTCCGAGCTGGATAACTGGATCCCCACGTCCTGGAGGAGCCTCTCGATGTCCTCCAGCCAGGACAGTGCCCCACGCACGATGTCCAGCGCCACCTTCTGGAGCCCCGACACCGGTGGGCTGGTCTGCAGGAACTGGAGACCGTCCACCTCCTTCTTCAGGTCCCTGCTGCAGCCAGACATCCTCATGCAGACCTGGAAGGAGACGAGACGGTGAGGAGACCAGACACAGTCATCGGAAGTAGCCCCGACGTGACTCGCCAGGAGTCTCACCTCCTTGAAGAGGGCAGGTCCTGCCTGGACTGGACTGGGGCCACCGGGCTGTTCTTTGTGGGGGGCAGCTTTTACTGATGGATTTTGCACTCTGCCCTGGAATTTTGATGGTCAGAGCCCTCAGTTCTAGGGACAAGTGATTAATTCCAAAGTCAAACTACCAAGGGCATTTTGGCTGAAACAAGAACCAAATCTGGCTGCTTCTATTCATCCCGATTCCTGCTGAGATCAACACACAGGCTGGTCCGAAAGCGGGGTTTCCTATTTGAAGAGTGCTGACAAGTCTGTGTTTGCACAGACTCCCCAAATAGCAGCTGCTGATTTCCAGAGAAAGCAGAAGCAGCTGTCTGCCCGGATAAGCTCTGTCCCTGCGGGGGTTCTCGGTCTGTGGGGGCGACCAGACCCTCTGGTCCTGGCTCCTCCAGGGACACAGCCACAGCGGTGAAAATAGCCTCTGAGTTGTTGGGCTACAGGAGAAAGTGTGACTCCAGAGCAGGAATGGCCTTTGGATTCTCTGTAGATAACACGGGGTTGTTTTCTTGGCCGGGGCTGGGGCCTCCTGACGCCAGCACCTGGAGTTGCTGGGGGTGCGTTCCTGGGCCACACCAACTCCACCTCCATCTTGGAGGCCCTTGTTGTCTCCAACAAGATAGTGGAGGAGGGAAGCTGAGGGTGTCTGCCCAACCCGCTCCACGGAGGCGGAAGCATTTCCCAAACGAGGGGCGCCACCTTGAGACCCAGGGGACACCTGTGAAGGCAGAGGGGGGCACCTGGCAGCTGTCTAAGGACGACTTCAGCCTCTCCACGTTCTCGGTGAGCTCCTCCTGCTTGGAGCTGCTGAGCTGGGTCTCCTTCTGCAGGCTCCACTTCCTCTGCTGCAGGCTGATGTTGTCCTCCGTGACCTGGGTGATCTTCTCGATTAACTGGTGAGAGAAGGCGCGAGAGGTTTAAGAGGCAAGTGACTCAGGGAGGGTCTGGACAGCGGCTCTGCGGGGACATGGCCCGTCCCCCAGATGCTTCCGGTGACCAGAGGTCATTAGAACCGGAGGCCTGCACGGTTGCCACGAGTTTGTTCCAGATTCTCCTGCCTCGTGGCCATGATTCCTAACACGGAGCCTGCCGCCATGACCCCAGAAAGAGAAGGGCCCTTCTCTGCTAGCCGGCGGCAGCCGCCCAAGGCATTTTCTCGCCCGTGCTTTGGCACAGAGGGTGGACAAAAATAACGGGAAGAGGGACGAGGCAGGCAGTCGTGACAGCAGGAGGCCCACGGTCCCCTTGATCTCTCCTCTTCAGGAGGAATGAGCCCAGATGTGTGGTTGGGGCCAGGCCGCCCCCATTTTCTCACAGAGCTAACAGAGGTTAATCGTTGTGTCTGGGGACCAGAGATAGGCCTCAGGGGTTTCCTTTGATTTTCACAGGAACATTTCAAGGGAGTTTAACTGGCTTTTACTTTAAAAGCCAGGAAATCCCATCAAATCATAACAAATCTTTGTGCTGTAGCAACAGTGTGAAAAATAAGTGTCTCTAACAACAACAGAAGCAGCTGCTCCTGGGGCCTGGAACCCCAGAGCCCCCAAGACGAAGACGAGAGGGGGAGCCCGCCCACCTGCTGATCGGTGATGGGCTTGTCCTGGGACGGCTTCACGCGTCCATAGGTGGCCTTGATGACCTGGCTCCTAAAGTGCTCCAGCTGTAACACAAAGGGGGAAACTGAGTCAGAGGGGCAGCCTGGGTGGGCTCTTCCCACCGCCCCGGTGCAGGAGAAGTCCGTAAGGAACCTGCACATCTTTCATGGTCATGACGGGTCATTCGGACCTTCACCTCTCTCTGGATGGGGTGGAATCCACGATGGGGAGAGCACAGCAGGCTTTAATCACTGGGTAGGCCGGTCCGCCTAACCCGCCCCGCCCACGTGGTCAGCGCACACACGTCCTGAGCCCTCAGAAGTGCCATTTGCTGCCAATTATCCAGTGGGAAGTCTGGGGCCTGGAGCACTCTTCCCTAATTGCTAAGCTGGCACCAGACTGTGAAATAAATATTGAGGCTGTCAGACCCAGCCAATTGTGTAATCAGCAACCGTGCCCAGGGCTCCCTTCTGCATTTTGTGCCTTGGACTGTACGTGTCTCCAGGAGTGTGTCTTTGGATTCATCTCTATTCTCCGGAGCCTGGTACAGTGCCTGGCACCCGGCAGGTGCTCTGCAATGACTTGCTGGAGGCTTGCATGTAGGGCCAGGGTCCTCTGCTTCAGTTCCACCAGCAGTTATTGAGTGCATCCTAGGTGCCTCCTTGGCATTTTCAGGTGACAGTTGGTGAGCTAGTGTGGCTCAATCAAATCGAGGCTTCTGAGACTGAGTTCAAGGTGGCCCAGGCACATGAGAATGAGAGACTATGAAACCCAACTTTCTCTGGGATTTCACCAACATGGCGGCCCTGAGTTTTGGTTCCCTGGCAAAATGTTTCCGAGGACTCTAAAATCCAGTTCTGAAGGGACCATGAGGGCTCCTGAATCAACTTAAAGGTCCACAGGCCCCAGGACACAGGTGCTTACTGTACCCGGGGAGTCCTGGGAAACCAAGGAGTGGAATGGAGCACGTCCTGAGGACACCTCCCAGTCAGGCAGCCGGAAGTGGCTGGAGTATCTCCAGCCTGCCCTGTGCTTTCATGGCCGAGGGGAAGGTCCCAGCTGGCCTATGGAGAGGGTGATGTACATAGAGAGGGTCTTGTGAGTGGTAGTCCCCCATGGCCACCAAAGACACATGTGGGGCTGTGTGGGGTAGACGGACAATTCTCTGGACAGTGGCTCAGTGTTGGGGTCACCTGCCGCACGGGTAGCAGGGACATGGAGGCAAGCAGGTGGGTGGGAAGCAGAGAGGACCCTCACCCTCCTCGGGTGAGTCTAGAGCGTCAGTCTCCCTGAGGTGCTCTGGGTGCTCAGAGCCACCGCCAGGACCTGGACCCTTTGGCAGGTGGCATAGAGCACCCCAGGGTGTGTTGGGGGTACAGAGTGCTGGAAAGGCGAAGGGGGTAGCCCAGGAACACAAAGGGGGCCCTAGATTGGCAGTCTCTCTTCCCTGTGATGAGGTCGGCACCCTCTGGAGAAATGACACGAGAGATGGTGATGGTGGACGTTAGTTGAAGGGGCTTAAATGCTGCCCATGGTCAGCATGGTGACTTAACACCCATGAGCCTCTGCGGTTCATGGGACAAAACCTGGTCATGTGCTTCATGGCTTGGACTGCACCAAATGGCAGGTCTCTGGAGCTTGCTTGGTGGGATGGAGGGAGCCAAGGGTTGTGGTATATTCCAGACAGTCAGCGCCCCCACCTTGGTTTCCCATTTGCTCCCCCTGGCCCTTTGGTAAAGGCTTGTCTGCATGCTCTGGCCCCCGTGTGCCGGCCACAGGCTGAGGGAGGCTCCTGGGTCATTTTGGTCCAGAGCATTAGAGAAATGGCCCTGGACCAGCCCGGCCAGAGCCCACTCGCCACCCTACCCAGAACCTTCTCCAGCAGCCCTGGGCTTTGACATCCTGGATGTTACTTAATTAAGAAAAGTGTCATTTGTTAATGGACACTGACAGTGACAGCTGCTGGGGGCCCAGAGGAAGAAAAATGGTGATGAATGTCAGGACAAACACTGTGAGAGAGAAAGTGCTGGTAATACCATTGGGGGTAAGAGGCTCAAATTCCCCAAGAAGGATCTGCATGGTCCGTTAATGGGGACAGACATGGAGCCAGGATCGGCTGCTTTGCCAGGGTCCTGCAACCGCAAACAATGAAAGTGGGCGGCTTCCCAGCAGGAAAAGGCTTCATGAGCGCCTCGGGGATGCAGAAGCCACAGAACACTTCTGCCTGGAGATAAGCGGGAGTGTGAGACCACAGTGTCTTCCTCCTCCTGTGCCCACCAGCCCCGTGGGAGCAGGAAACCTGGGCACAAGGGCCAGTAGAGGGGCTACGGAGCCTACCTGACCTACTGCCCTTTCCAAATTGACTCTAATGAGGTTTTCTCTGTTCCCCATTTCTTGTAGCTGAAGCAATTTCCTTCTGGAATCCTCCTGAAGCTTCTCTTCAACCTGAAATGACGATGAAAGCATGCTCTCGCTGCTAATGTGGTCCTAATGCACTCTGGGGAAATTCTTCCAGGAGGTCTAATGGCCACGGGGGAGGCCCGGAGGCGTGGGGACCCTGCAGCCCATGTGGCAGGGGTCACACTGAGCAGGGGTGGGGTGGAGGCAGTCCCCCAAGAGGCAGAGCCTAGGGGAGAAGGCAGAGCCCTGCACCCTGGACTCGACTCTTGTCAGATCCCAGGCTCCACAGGCTCTGGGCTCCTGGGAAAGCCGGGCAGGGACTGGTTGTCTCATCCTCCTGTCAAACGGGTGATAACACTGGCAAGGGCTCTATGAGT